GTTCTGGGAATTTAACGAGCAGGAGAGGTAAGACAATAATCCTGTAGTTGCCAATTGATTTTACCATCTTCTCGTTGCAATAAATTGTATGGCGTTTTCCTGCACACTCCAATCAAATTTCCAAAAAAAAGGAGCAGCAGGAGTTTTATGGGCTAAAGCGGTGAATAGTGTCATGAAAAATTCAGAATTAGTTCTCACCCTTAGAGAAGGGTGGTTCTAAGTAGAGAAGAGAAGGAAGGAACGCCCCCCACCCCCACCCCACCCCGCCGCCAGTGGTAGGAACCACTTAAAGGAAACCCTGAGATGTGGTAATGAGTATGACTGAGGAGATAATAAGCAGGACTCTCACTGCAGAGCCTTCGCAGAGCCTTCTCCTTGCCAGAAATACTCTTCTCAACCTCCTCATCTCCTACCCACCCCTTCTCTTGTTACACACCTATTCTCTTCTCAGAGCTCAGGCTCTTTACTCCCTCATGAACCTTTCTCTGACTTCCTAACCGGTTCGGATGCCTACTATGTATGTCCTTTGTAAATGCTTCACAGTAATGCATTTACATTTATTCGTGAATTCTTTGATTAGTGTTGGTCCCATTCTTTAATTCCAATAAGAACAGGGGTGATTGTATCTGGTTTGCACTCACTGTGGACTCCTTTACTCCCTGACTTAGTGCAGGGTGTGGAGCATAGGAGGGGCTTAATAAATACTCACTAGTTAGCAGTGAGGTAATAGCCTGGATAGGAAAGAGGGTTGATATTTGAGATTGTTAATCCAATTAGATGCCAAGCACTGTACCAACTCCTTTAATCCTTAAAAACAATCCTGTGAAGTCAAGTGTGTTATTACTTTCATGTTAAAGATGGAGAAACTGATATCCAGAGATGTTAACCATCTTTCCCTGTTGACCCAGCTAATCAGTGGCAACAGAGGGATTTCAGCCCAGCAGCCTGGCTTCAGAGCGCCCGGATATAACCACATTGCTCTGTTTAGCAGCAGAGGACCAAGTCGGGTACATAAGTAAAGTCAGGATAGATTTCCATTTGAAAATTGTGGATTTTTTCCTCCTCCTCCTCTTCTTCAGTTATCATAATCATTATCATCATTTCATGGGAATAACTAAGCAGAAAAGAACTACTTCGCGTGTCACGTCTTACATTCATGTTGACTCTACCTTCTGCCAAAGTGACTTGGCCACATTTACTCAGCACGTAAACTGGATGTTTCAAATTCTGATTCCCAGAAAATTCTAGACTACTTCTCTTACTCACCTTTAAGGAAGTAGTACGTGCTTTGCCAGAGCATGACAGAATCATTTTCAATAGAAGGAGGTGATTTGACTAAGTTCGGTATTATCTGAGGCCTTGGTTTCTATTTCTTACTCAAAAAGCAGATCTAGCCTGAGGTCATCAATAGGTATTGAGTCATAAAGCTCCCGGAAAAAAGACCAAATTTCATCAAGGAAGCCACAAAATCCTCAGCACCCCTAAGAATGATAGTTGTTACTATAATAACATAATTATTACTAGAAAATTAACGAATCCTCTTAAAATGTGGCACTCTGGAAAAAAAGACTTACTGTAGGAATAAGAGTGGCCTTAATTAGTCATTTATTCTAACCACCTGACTTTAGACAAGATTTTTAAAAAATCATCCCAGAGCAGTTGTATTATTTGAAGATGTCTAAGTAGAGGAGTACCTTATAGTAATAAATAAGGTAATGGTTAACACTTGTGTACTACTGTTACTTACTGGACAGCGTTCTAACTATGTGCTTTAACGTATTTAATACTCATAACAAACCTGTGAGATCCTGTTATTCTTCCCATTTTACAAATGACAAACTGAACACCACCCAAGGCCACACACCTAGTAAATGATGGAACTGTCTTCAGACATAACTAATCTGCCCGTCAAGTACATGCTCTTACACCATCCGTTGGTAGTTGATTACTCAAGTTGTCACCTTTGCCTCCTTTGCTCTAACTGAAAGCTTAAGTTGTGTTTAAGCATTAGTATTTAATTAAGAGTCTGCTATGTTCATACTCTTTCAAAAATAACCCAATCTTTCTGGCAGATACAGTTGGTTTGTATAAACTTAACTTTTGTGGCAACCACTATTCGAAGAAGTAAAAGGGAGACAATAAAAATCATCAAATTCTCCATAGAACAAATGAACTTCTGAATCATCTGTAAATAGCACTCGGTCATTGTGACATTTTGTGAAGTATGTCCTCCCCTAAGTTAGAATTTCATTGTCCTCACTTGTCATATAACCTGAAAATAATACCATTTTTTTTCTATCCCCACACTTCAGCTCTCTTCTTTCAGTCCGTATTTTGGAAAGTCCACAAAACCCAGGGGCCTCCCTGTCCTTGCCCTGTGGTCTATGTAAAAACCAGATGATGGCATGCTGACTTGAACTCTCTCAGATGGCTCAAGCAGTACATTAGTCATTGGCAAATTTTTCAGGTCTTTTACCTCAGAGACTACCCAGTTCCTCATTCATGCCACCCTTCAATCATGAAGTAATAGCAAGAAAAAGATGTGAGTACTTTTTGGGGACACCTCCCACCTCTTTCCTTCAGTGCCAGTGACTGATGCCTTCATAGTGGTGACATTGAAGGGCCTAGATAGCCAAAGTGATTGGGCTTTCATCACTGGCTTACTTCTGGTGTCCTGCTTAAGTGGAAAGCATTTCACCCAAGTGAAGCATTTCCTCATGCCTTACACTGGTGCATTTCTGTGCTTAGTGCACTTAAAGGTGAAATTCATGCTCTATTTAGTGCTTTTTCACTGTTCATTTACTGCTGAAGAAGTCCCTGTGGAGTATGTCATGATAACAGAGACTGATTTCAGATGTCGACACCAAAGGCACAAAACTGGCATCAGCAATCCAAGGAGTATGTAGAGACAACAGCCAAGTTAGGAGCAAACCCAGAACTTTTCATTCCCTGCCCTGCCCTGAAGGGCAAAAGCTTTCTGCCTATTATAAAAGGGAAAGCAGTAACATCATAATTAGTTTTATGCCCACAGGGGTTTTTTTAGTGCTCTACCTATTTAAAGAATTATTTATTCGTGCTTTGAGGTGGTCAAAACCTAATTTAATCCTAACTTTCTTCATGATTAGCTTGCTCTGCAAGGACCGGAGGCCACTCCTACAGGTGGCGCTGCTCCTTGGGAAGGGCTGGTAGAGCATTCAGAAGCTTTGCAGCAGCTCCGAGCCAAGGTTCAGACAGGGAAGACCTAACATTTCCAGTAGAGCCACCTCGTTGATTATAGAGAGAAATCTGTCCTTTGCTCAGGGTGGGAACTTCTCTCCCTCAAAACTCTCTGCTGAATAACCCCAACTCTCATTAACTGCTCAACTCTTGCAATGGGAGATTGGATTAGGAAAAAATCCATACTGAAAAAATCCTAACAAAACCCTGCATCAATGGAATATGAATCTACTTAATAATATTTATGGTAGAAGAAGATTGGTTGAAAGGGATTCTGTCTGTTTCCAAGAAATTTTGTTGACAAGTAGATTCTTCCTCAAGTTTAGATCTAAAAGGCTTCCATTGTGAGTCCATTGCTAGAAAGAATTCCTATCTATTTTCTTTCCCTTCTGAGCTAAAGGCTGCTTATGCAGATCAAAGTGTTTCGAATGATTATGTAGTTGGGAGATCTTGGATTTAGGCAGAGAGAGAGAGAGAGAGAGAGAGAGAGAG